CGTTGGGGCTCCTTCGGAGTCCCCCGGATGCCCGCGACGGGACGACGGGCGCCTTTAGGGACGCGCCCCGTCCTCGCGCCTGACGATCACGAGGCGCCCGTTCCGTCGACGCCGGCGCTGCTGCCGCCAGACGGACGGTAAAGGAGGAGGAGGAGGAGGATACGCGGTGGAGTGAGCAGTGCGGACGTACTACCGGCTGACACCCCCGCGACAGCGCCGCAATGAACTCGCCCGGTGTACCGAAGGGTCAAAAGCACCGCGGCAAAATAATAACAGAACGCAGCCGCCGACGCCGCTGTCGCCAACGACAGCGCGTGAGCTGGGCGATCGCTGCTGCCACCGCCGTCGCCGTTGCCGTTGTCGCCGCCGTCACACGAGCGCGACGACCTTCCTCTTCTTCTCTCTACTTCCTCTCCACCACCGCCCGAGACCAGCAGCCGTGACCGGCAGCGGCGTCGTCGTGCCGGGACAACGCTGCAGTCGACTAGACGGCACGGCAACAACAACAACAACAACAACGTCGTCGTCGTCGTCGTCGTCGTTGAGCGCAAGTAACACCACGACGACCACCGCTGTTTCTGATGTTTTTATTGTTATTCGTCACAGAATTTTTGTAGCTACTGCCTACGACGATACCGATGATGCCGTTGTCGTCGTCGTCGTCGTCGTCGTCGTCGTCGTCGTCCTCGTCGTCGTTATCCGAGAGGATCCTTCTCTCGGCGACGTAGTCGATATCGTTGTTTTTGTTGTTACTGGTGCTACTGTTGACAGTAGCGATGTTGGGGATGACGATAGTGGTGGTTGTTCGCGGCCGCGGGTTTTGGCGGGTTTCCACGGGCGACGAGCGCGCACACCACTGGCACACACCGCGGCCGCCGTGCATTCACCTCGTCCTCGCAGCACGCGCCGCCGCCGCCGCTGCTGCCGTCGCCGTCGTCACCGCTGACACGCACCGACGAGCGCTCCTCCTCGCCAGCTCGCGTCGCAGCCGTGATCGGCTTCTACGAGGTTCGTGAACGCCTTGTAGGAGCTGCGCCGAATTGAGATCGTTGCCGCCGCTTCTTCTGTTGCTGCTGCGGCTGCTCCTGTGCCGCCACGCCACACCGAGACACACGAGACGAGGTTGTTCGCGGCACCACTGGCTCACGGACGCGCACGAACGGCCACCGATCGCGACGACGTCGAGCGGGCGCTCGAGCACGCGGCTTGCACGACGGGTAACGCGCGACGTTCCCGCAGCACACACGAGAATCGTACGACGTCCTAACCGCGGGAACACCGCATCGCTTTCACGGGCGAACATGGAGCTGGATCCATGCCGAAATAGTTGGCGTAATCGGCCGCGAGGCGGCGCGCTCGGAGCGCCAACGTCGCGGCGGTAGTGGCTAGTAGCGCGCGCGCGCGCCCGCGGGAGAGAGAAGGAAGAGGAGAGAAAGATAGCGCGCGCGCGCGCGCGCGCGTACCGAAATACGGCCTTCGGGGGCCGCGCCGCCGCCAACGCAGGCCTGCCAACGCGATATCGCGCCGCTTGACAACAGCGAGTACCCCCGACTCGCGCCAGATGGTCCCCCCCCCCCCCTCCCAACCTCCGTCTCCGCGCCGCGTTTCATTCATTAAATTGGAATTAATTAATTCAATTATCTCTTTGCTACATAAATGAGATCCCGTTGGATATGACTTCGGGGTGAATATACTAAGAGTCGTTATTGAGGAATTGGAAAGCTAAACTGTTCGCCGTTTGGATATATATATTCGAAAATGTGTGATTTATCTGAAATGAAACTTCCTTTATATTAACTAATGTTTTTAACAGTTTAGCTAACACAGAGTTAATAAAAATGGCATCAATCTGATAAAATGATGGATTTTATTAGTCGCCTAAAGAATAACATATCTTTTATTAAAAAATATGTAAATATGTTAAAGAAAGAAACATTTCATAAAATAATAGAAATTTATTCCGAATTTAGTTAATTGTGATACTATAATCACTATAACGATCGTAAACAGTTTTCTAATACAGTCTTATAAAAATGATCCTATTTAATTGATATCAAAATGATATACTTACCCCGAAATTTATCAAACATTCCATAAGTACTGTGTCTATAAAGCTTGAAAGATTCACATTTTTAAAATAAAGATTAAAGAACATAGAATTATAAAATATTAAAGAAAAAAAATAGTTTTATAAATAGAAAACAAAATCTTTTCAAGATTTAGCTGATTCCAAAATAGGGAAAAAATGAAAAGAAAAACCTCTCTTCTCTTCCAAAATCGAAAATAAATCAATCAACATGATGAATTTATTCAATTGGAGCAAAAGTGAACGTTTCAGCTGATCCGATCGTTTCGACAATCCATAGCAACTGCAAATAAGGTCGATTACTAAATGTAAAATTAACTTTCATGAAAAACATGTAATCATTTTACCTCATAAAAAGTAATCGTGTCGTTTGATCACGAAAAAGAAAACGTATCAATTCAGCGAAGACTATTTCTTCTCTCTAACCATGAAGCAATCGGATTCCGAATGAGAAGTTTGATCACAAAGTCAAAAAAAGCGACAACTGACGACTTGGAGAAAAAGAACGTTCGCCTAAAAGTGGCTAATTTAAGATGAATCATGAGCTACGTAATCGGGAAATCGACTCGACGTGACGTAGTCGACTTGGAACACCCTCATCGAAGATTTCTGTCAAGATCATTGAGCGATTTTACGATGATACATTCATATCCGACGCAAAGTCGAGCGGAATTCGCGAGCAATCTAAACCGGACGTTCATAAACTGAATGTGCTCTAAATTGCAGTATAAATTGCTCGCTAGAGTAATTTGAATCGAACAGTCGTGCCGGAAGATTAAAAGAATGCAATTTGCAGCGCAATTAACTTCTAAAGAACGCACCGCTAGGGATTTATGTTAAGTTTAACAATGCTATCTTTTTTTTTTCAAAACATTGTAAGGGGGAGGACATGTATTTAAATAATCACTCTTTCTAAATTACGAAAATTAATTTGTATTTATAAAATACAGATAAAAATCAATTAACACTTAATTGTTTAGTCCATATCTTTGTGTATTCACTAGTCGATTTTATATACTTATAATAAATAAATCATGCTATCTCTAATTAATATTTTCAATGGTAAACATAAATACGAAAAACTATTGCATATCAAATAAAAAAAAATACTTAAATCAATGGTTTTTACAAAAAGAAATAACAAGAGAAATAAAATTACAAATGTATATTGTTTCCTAATAACCTTAACATTTTTTTTAATTTGTTAGCTTGAATATATAAGGAACTATTATCTTACAACTAAATATTGTATATATGATTTATTATAAGCTTTCACAATTTTGTTAAAAAAATTTATAGACATCATTTATCACGAAGAACAATTTGCACAATTAAAAAATATTATTTAAATATTTTTACTTCATTTTTATCAAAAATTTATTATCATAATTCGAAGTTATTTTAAAAAAAATTATTTCGATTATAATTACTTGATATATATGGTAACCTAAGAGTATAGCATGTAACAATAACATATTTTGTTGAATGCACAAATATTTGCATTGTAACAATATTGGTGAAAAAGATTCTCATATTGTATATTTTTCAGAATGTTTTATATTTTAAATTTTTAAAGATTTCTGAAAAAAAAAAAAACATCAGATCTTACAAGTTTCCTTCTCAAAAATAAAAAGCCTCACAGTATTTTAGAAATCATATTCTAGGAAAGATGTAGAATTTCTTAGCATTTCTAAAATATGTAAAAAATTCTGAAAAATTATATGAAAAACTTTAAGAAACAAATTTCATTAGGAAAGCTACAAAGCTGATACAAAAGTATCACGATACTGATAGCTTACGCAACAATAAGATGGCACTTAATAAAACGTTGTCTCTGTGAAAAATACAGTATAATACATACAATTAAAACAAAAAGTAATGCGAATGAGTTTTATTTGTAAGAAATAAAAGATTACGAACGGAACGTACGAGACTGTTGTTACGGAATAAAACTGTACGAACTACATGGCATAATATGATGCAATACTCGAGCGACACCGTGCAACGTGTGCAATCATTTAGGATTAGCTCGCAGTATTTTATGATTTCTAAGGAAACAATAATAAGATGTACAATGTAAAAATATATTTATAGTCAACAAAATATTTATAACTCTATATAAGTAATTCATCGCACATATAACGAGAATTACTTGTAGTTATGAAATACAGAAAGGTATATGCTTTTGAGGCTTTCACGGGTATTTTCTTCAATTATACCAGGTTTGCGGATTATCGCCGTGTCTTTCTTCATTATTAATGCCAACGTTTCGTGAACCATGCCGTTTACTCCATCAGGGCATTGATACAGTATCAGTACACCCCTCGCCCTGATGAAATGAACGACATAACCCGCAAACCTTCTGGTATAATTGATAGAAAGGTATAGTTAATAAATCGAAATATAGCAAATAGTGTTTTCACTATAAGATTATCTACAGGATAAAAATAAAATTAATGTATACCAATTCCATAATTCCTATAACATAAATTTAAAATTTGTAACTTTTATTTTGGTTTCAAATTTTTATTACGTTATAATTTCTTTTAAATCTACATTACATTTTCATTACGTTACATACACTAAGTTTTCTTAATCATAATTTTGTATTTTGTTGTACAGAAATTATTGTGCAATATACCGTTATAAATACAGTATCAATGACATGAACAAAATAACAAAAGCGTCGAAATATATGTCAGTGTTTATCATACCGATGAGATCTTACGATGTAAGATTACATATTATAACATTTTAATTGTGACAACTGCCATAATATAAAAAGATGACGATATGATGCTTTTGCAGATACTGATGCTCTTTCCAAGGTTGCACAAGTACTTATTGCATTCTCATCAAACACATTTACGTAAAAATATTTGAGCATATTTTATGTTATGTAGTTATTTTTTCACTGTTGTTCGCCATAAATTCATACTTGAATATTTATCCTGAAAATTGTATTTTCTTCACTTTTTATTTTAACATGAAATAATTCCATGCATATAGTATCATTCAAATCAGTATCATTTAATAATGATGGATCATCACTTATATATTGTTTAAAATAATATTTCATGTCGCTGTCTATTTTATATATGCATATACATATGTACACATATACACACACACATACATATAATATTAATGAAATGAATCATATATTTAAAAAATATTTTGTGTACATAATGAATAATTTTAAAACTTGCCCCGATAGTTTCCGCGACTCCGGTATGGTCTTCCTCCTACATGTTTTCCTCGCAAATTACTTTTACCCCTTAAGACTTTCCCTCTTCCATGCCAATCAGATCCTCTTTGGAATGTATGGCCAGTCATTAATTCATCGTCAGATTCTTCTAGTTCCATCGGGCTTTCTCCACGGCTATGATTGCTTCTTCTATCATGAAATTCATCACGCTCCGAAGAACGTCTTTGATAATCCGGCGAATATCTATTATGACTATAGTGATCATGTGTATTAGAATGAGCAGAAAACTCATTGCTTCGAATAGGAGGAGAATTCAGCCTCGAGCTTCTAGATTCATTAATAGGATCTGATTGCTCTTGTTCATCGGATCTTCTAGAAGGAGACGTCTGCCTGTTCCAAGTACGTCTCTGCGAAGAGTTACTTAGACTCCATCTCAGATCTACTTCGCGAAACTTGGATCCATATTCGTAAGTATCTCGTGCGCTCCAATCTAAACGATCCATTATCGGCCGTCTCTCTTCTTTTATCTGCTGGAGATCGTCCGAATAAACCTGTGATGCAAAGTCAGCTGTGGTAACATGTACTTGAACGCCTTTAGAGTCCGTTTCCACCTCATCTGTCTGACAGATTTTCTGATGCGTTTGAGTTGTTTTCGGAATCGGTGTTGGCTGTTCTGCGTTAGACTCTTTCCAAAATATCTTGGTTTTACTTTTCTGCAAAAGTATCGAATTCGATGTATGATCTTCGGAAACGTCTTTCGTATTGTGTTCTTCACTGCGATCGTAGAAAAATCTACCCTTCATCTTTAAACGCGGATCCTCAACGGGAAGCTGGTATAGTGCTTGTTCGCAATGTCGCATTATTTCAGGTTTGAATCCTGTCAGTAGAAAAAAAAACATTCGCGTAGAATAAAATTCCGAATTATATATAAACCATCATGCTTATAAAACAGATGTTATGTCATGCTTCTTGCTATCTTCATGTACGTTGTAAATCACATAAGTGTCTTTAAACAAAAGCACACTTTATTGTGTATCTAATCACGTCACATAATAGAAATATATAACAGATAATTAAATATCATATAGCGCAATTTTAATAAGAAAAAATTGAATTTAAAAAATTTGAAATTTCTTACCTGGATATAGTACCGGTATATTAGATGAATCTAAAGAATGTGATAAAAACAAAAATTAGTATCATGCCATAAATAGGATACATAGGAAGCATAGTTGTGTATCCTTGTAGTCCATCAAAAAAAGTGAACTGAATCAGTTTTATATCTTTACGCGATTTTTACGCGATCAAACAAATTAAAATATACTCGCACCTTTGGCTGAAACAGATGCTTCCAATAGACTGGATAAGCTGGTTTTTTGCTGCAAGATCAATTCATAAAAATAATTAATTTTTTCTCTACTAATTAAAATAAATACAATCTTTATATGACAAATTAAAATAATGTTCATTAACTTTGATATACCAATAAACATTTTTTTCTTCTTAAAATTTATAACAAAGCTAAATAGTCATCGCTACTATATATTACAATTACTTTTGGTTTAGAGATGACCGGTGGTTCAGGTGTCTTTATTCGTTCCTGGTGAAGTGGAGAGTAAACTTCCCTGTATGATGTTGCTGATCCATGTTCCGTATAATTCTGCTTCTGCGACGACGTGGAGGATATGGTTGAATGACTTAAAGATTTGTTTGGAGGTTCAAATTGACGGATTGGTGGTTGTTGGACAAAGGGTGCAGTATACGATGGATTATACGATACATGCGCACGATCCATCACCGGAGGAGGTACAGGTTGCGGCGAGGGAAGCAACGGTGAACATATCACCGGTGGCGGAGCAGCAGCAGCAGCATTCGTCTGATTATACATAACCGGTCCGGATGCATAACTGGTTGGAGTCATAGTTGGGGCCAGAGATGGAGGAGGCATAGGTTCGAAATTCATAAATGACGATCCACTTGGCATAGATGGTAACATAGTTGATGTTGATGGCAGCGGTGGTTGTGGTGGTGGCGGCTGCGTTGGCTGCAGTGGCCTATCCGCTTCTTGCTGATATGTGGGCAGGTTGAGTAACGGTGAAATTACTTCCATCGTCGTGGACGGTACGTATCCACTCGTGTTAACAGCAGTCGACATTGCTTCATGTCCTAGTTGTCTTGCTAGTTCGTTGATGAAGGGTGACCGCTTTCTAGGGCGCTTCTCCAATGATCTGCTACGTGTGCGACTTCGACGACTGTATCGTCTCACTGGTGAACGGCTTAATCGTCTTCTTGAACGTTCCGTACTGCGACTCCTCCGATCGCGAGATCGGCTTCTTCGGCTTAATCAAGATAATTACTAAGATATAATCTAGTACATTTTTATATCATATACATATTTGTACAATAAAGTAATATAAATACAAAATTAGAACACAAAGTTAAAAACATTATGTATACCGTAACCCCCTCCTTCCTACAAATATATTGTATTATATAATAAAAATGTAATTATACAATATATTTGTACACAAAATGTTATTGTAACTTCACTGTAACTTCACGCAGAAAAAAAAAGTTTAACTACGTGACGGTAAGTTTTCAAATCTCTTTTATGAACCGGAAAGAATTTAAATGTCTTAACAAAGATGTTAAGAATGTTGTCTCCTCACCGTTCATGCATCCAATCAGCGCGTCTCCTACGTCGTTCAACACTCCGTCTTCTCTCTATGCTAGAGCGTCGTTCTCCACTAAGTCGTCTAGGACTTCTTCGTCGAGAATCTGGACTTAATTTAATGGGGCTTCTCCGGTCGTAGGAACGCGGTGAATTTTTCAATCTACCTGGACTGTATCTGTAAGGACTTCTATGTTTTTCTATGCTTATTTTTAAGGGGCTCCTACGACGATCTGGGCTTGTACTTTTTCGTCGATGAGGGCTTAACCGAGCTCGATCGGGAGTTTTACGTCGAGATAGACTCGATCTTTCGTAACGTTCTGACGATTTGCTTCGGCGATGATCTCTGTTTCGTTGTGCTTCACGCTGAGCTCGTTCTCTATTCTGTTCCTCGGCGATGCTCTGGATAGCTTCGGTTTCCGTGCCAGGTGGGACTACGTTGTCCGAGTCCAACAAGTATTTGATCGCCTTCTCCTTTTCGGCAAGAAGCTTGCTTTCGGTGTCTCTCTTCGTTCGCATCTTGTCCTTTTCAATGTCCTTGGTACTCTTCAAAGGATCCCGCCGAATCTCCTCACGTTTTTTCTCTTCTCTCTTCGGCTTTTTGCGTTTATCCTTCTCGGGACGATGGTATTCCCTATAATTACTCTTTCCATCATTTGTTTGCTAAAGGATGCAAACTTCCATATATATATATTAAATATAATAGATTGTATACATGTATAATACACATAACATACATATAGCAGAAAAATAAAATTATTTAAAGTTTTTTTTTTAATTGTATAACTTATAACTAAATTACTAAAATTAGAACATAATACATTTATACAGTAAAAATTAATATAATCGACTCAATCTATGAAAAACCATGGCGTTATAGAAATTGCACTTGTAAGAGCATAAAACAGCTTTATTTGTAATGTAAAGTATAGTAACAATATAACCTTATATAAAAATTATTTACTTAATTATTATTTATTTAATAACACTACCTAGAGGTTTGGTTCTTTCCCTGCTTTGTAGACTCTGTCCTGTCTTGCTCAATCTCACGGTTTTTATCTTCATCTCCTTCCCAGGCATCTACGACGTCCAATCCTTTCATAAAGTCTTCATCATCGAGAAACTCATTCAATTCTTCATCCGGTATTTCTCGGAGACCCTTGATCGCACGTAGCACATCATCACTGGTGCTGTTCAATAAAGGATCGTCCACTAACTGATGGAATTGCTTCACGAATATCTTGCCAACAATATTTGTGTCTTCTTGTTTTATCTCTTCTTTTATTTGATCAACTGTATCCTTTGTCTCATCCATGTTGCTCATCAGTTTGTAATATTATCTCTGTAGTATTCTCAGGAGCCTAAAGTAATTAAGAAAATATCTTTGAGCTCCACATGAAACGTAATTATGCTCCTTGTATTTATAGATCTGTTTTTTTATTCTTGCTTTTAGACTGCAATACTCTTTCTCGCTTTTGTCTAATATCAAACGTGTACCTTTCAATTGTAAGTTTCAAAAGTGTATATTAGTTCAGAAAACAGACCTTATATATTGCTATCGCAATTCTTTTGTTAAATCCAACAAAAATATTCATATAAGATAATTCAACAAATGTTTTGAGTTATATTATTTCAGTTACTATTGTAGTCAATTCAATTTTTGTTACAATCCGTATGTATTCTCAACAGGCTCTATATTTTATCCAATTTCATGTATATATCGATACTTGATCTTCGGTAAGTTTATCGATATTAAATACGACCATGCGACTTTTTAACTTTTAGACGTCTCTTAACTTTGGACATGTAAATTTTTAGATTCAATTTCAGCACACTGATATAAGTATACTGACAAGCACAGTACTCCCAACATGTGTAACATGCAGAGTAGAACGATCGATTCCGATTGGGAAACGAAATAACAGCCGAGCTTAGTTACCAGTTTGATTAAGGAAAACCAAGTGGTTTCCGATTCCCGGTACTGTAGGGTTATCGTGAGGAAGAGTGCCTGACACAGGCAGCCTCACGTTACGTACATAAATATCGGAAATTGTAAAATCCGTTAGAATCGGAAGAAATGATAAATAACGAATGCAAACCCGCAAGATTTCAAGCGTGCGAGTAAAATACCCGAATATGAGGAAACACCTGTATCCGCTCAGTGACGAGTCTTCGCTCTCTCTCTTTCCACTCGCCCAGTTAGCAAAACTAACCTAAACTCTTAACAAGATTACGATTACATTCGAAAACACCACTGTGCGCAATGGCTTCTGCACAGGATGCGGAAACGCTTACCGCGCGGTAAGTGCCGACAGTCGTCGACACGGTGAACCAATCAATCATCTGGTTTTCCGGAAAGAGCCACACGTACAACACACAAACAGACAGACATAATGGCAGCTTTTCCATTCATCGATTGATTAATCGCGTTATAATGCGCAAATGTAGTTTTTACAGAACAAAATTACATTTGCGCACAATGCGATTGATCAATCGATGAATTTAAACACTTGCCCAATGTGTGTGTGCCTACCTATGTCTTTTCATTCTTTCTCATGCCTTTTTCTCATATCTTCTCCGATCGAGTGGCGTGCAACTTCGGAATCTTCGGATCGGTAGGTTCACTTTTGTACGATCTTCCATCGCGCGGGAAAATTTGAATGCGACTCGAATTTTGCGTCTATCTCGAATTGAGGTGAAAGTTACAAACGTGAGCGAATTCACTAAAATATTTATAATTTCATTGATCAACATTTAATAAAATTGTTCACATTTTAATAATTTTCACCTTGTTTCAAGATATACAATCGACTCCCAAAAGCAAAGCTCAAATAATAATTATCAGTTAGCGATTTCAGTCACTTGAATTAGATTGGTACATATTAAAAGCTGCACATAAAATTAGCAAAATTAAATGTAGAAGCATATAAATATTTTGAACAATTTAACTAAATAATATTGTTTACGTATTAATTCCTGTACTTGTAGACATATAAAAGAATAGTACTGGCATTGTTTGTCCAAAATTAATTAAAAGCTTAATTACATCTCTGATTTTCACATCCAAAGTTACAAAATTTGTATCTGTAAAATATCGAAATATTCCAAAGAATTTGACTCTATTTATATATCCACATGGGTAAAATAAATATACTATCTTCTACCAAAGGTACTTCAAATGTTACACCACTGTAAGAAATCACTACTTTTTTTCGAGGAACACATTTGTAAGAACCTATCATGATCATTAGACACTCTAGAGCAGTGTGTGGTAGTTGCTCATGAGTTCGTATAAATGAATAATCTCCAAACATCATTGAATTGATTTCAAAACTGAAATTTTTTTTGAATTGCAGAAAACTAATAATTCAGTAAATGAGAATAAATTGAAACAGTTTGAAAGATTCAAATATTTAAAAGTATACACATTAGTGAACGTTGAAATAAACCTTTTTAAAAAGTAATGTATTTTTATTAATTTATACTTATTAGGAATTGCATGAAGTAAATTTCTATACGTGTCTTTCTCAGTTAAAAAAAAATTCAGTCTTTTAAGTGCATCGTGAATACTGCTCAATTCAAAATTCTGAATAGGAAATGTAATACTAGAATAGATATAAGCATATACTGTGCTTATAAAAATCTATATTTACTCTAAAAGATTACAATTCTTAAGTATCATGATACATATGGATTCAATAAATAATACCAGCATTGAAAAGCGTGTAATAAAAAAAGTCGAGATTCTTCACTTACGTATATGAAGGTGTAATGTATATATACGTATATATATTTTTTCTAAAAGTTCTAACTTTATACATATGTTCTAAATTATTAATTGTAGAAACAAACTGATCAGATGAATGTGAACAGACTTCTATTACATAATATCAATAGAATCAGTAATACATAGAAAGAACCGCTAAAGTTTGGTTCATGCCGGAAAGCATCATGACTTTTAACATCATGACTGGTGGCATAGTAATTGATCATAAGTCTTTTTGTACTGTAGCATGTGTAGCAATGTTTTGTTTATTATTTTTGGTATCCAACTATTTATGAAACATTCAAATTGTCGAAAAACATAATCCTGACTGTCCTCATCGTTCAGCGCTATAATCACTGCTACAGGATTGTCCACCTTTTCTAACGTACATATAAAATCCAGCTTTATGTTGTTTGCTTTATCATGTTCTTTTAATTGCTCCACTACTTTATCTGACATAATTGCTTCTTTCTCCAGAAGACTTAATTGAAGATCCAACAGAGTTCTATTATTTTTCTTTCTATTGTACCACACACATTTATTTCCTGTGCAGTGAAACGTTACTTTTTGATAATTTCTGGTATGTACATCAGATAATACTTCAACTTTCTGCTGTTTTGCTTCCTGATCGAGAAGTACCTCAACTTGCAACTTAAAAATCTTTTCAAAGATATCTCTTATTAGATTAAAAGTAATAAAGTACCAATTATCTTTCTTATACTGCTCTTTATTAGTAATGTCTGCACGTGTTTCAAAATCTTCTGGTAATCCAACATTAAGAAAACGACCAGCCTTTATTACATCTTTGAAATGATTCTTCTTCTTCTTCATCTGTTTCAATTGAGGAGGTATTGAAGAAAATAACATCTTTAATAAATAATTGTAATTATTTTCACTAGCCGTTGAACAGACATCCGCGCTAAATTTACAGCAAAATTGAAATGTTAATAATGCACGATCTGACGTATTTGCAGCTGTATTTTGATTAAGTTCGATTGGATCCTGCAAACATACTGGCTTGTAAATATCCAATTTCTTGGTATTATCCATGTAATGGACATAATATTTATATCTGTCCATGTAATCGGGTAATTTATCTAACTGTTCGAAATCAGATAATGAATATGTTTTTCCATCCAATAAGCATAACACACATGAGGTAAAATCGAATTCACCGTAAAAAGTAAAGAATTTGTGAAGCAGAGTTGCAATATTACTGCTGTTGGTAATGGCTGGTAATACAGTATTTGCATTAAAATTCACTTGCCATCCATTTATAATCAGTGGGGTACAATTTCTCTGAAGGTATAGTAAAGGCGGAAGGAGACCAACCGATTCTTGCTGAAGATAAAAAATAATTAGACACACTAATCCATAACTAGAAATTTTCCCACTACCCGAAATTCTGAAATGCCTCGCCCAGTATTTGATGGACAGCATTAGCGGTCTTAATCGAGGATCATGTAATGCACAATATCGCATGAAGTCACTTTTATAGATTCCTAGGCCATTTTTAAAAGAAATATCGCATGAGACGTTAGTTGGTATATAACGAAATTTTATAATAGGTGTTTTTGCTTTAGGGATTGATATTATGTTGGTAAATACAGATTTCATAGTATACATAACTTTTCTCACTCTCTTGAAAACCATTGTCGTCCATATATGCGATGGCATATCCGGTTTGTAATAATTTGGCGGCAAACCTGGAACAGAAACGGAAAACAAAAACATTATTTAAATATGTGAATCACACACTATTCATATACAATAATAATATTAGCAAATCTCTTACCGATTCTACCGACGTACATGTAGATATCTAAGTCACTTTCTTTAAAGCTTAATTGTGCCACCGTTGAACCAAATCTGAATGTGCGACATTCTGGGAAAATCGATTTGAATATTTCATCTAAATGAGAACAAATGACATTATATCTTGTTGACAATTCAAATTCAGTAAGTTGTACTGCATTTAAAAGAGCTGCTAATTGGTTGTCAAATGTTACTTCATTTTCAATAACATCTTTTACACGATCATAACTTATTGGATCTTCTTCCTCTTCAGTTTTATTCTTAGGTTTTTTTCGAACAGCGTCATTTTGTTGTGGTGCTGTTAAATTAGTATGTTTTTGTTGTTGTGCTGTAAAACAATAAATGAATGCATATATTTAACATCATTTTAAAATTATTAAAACATAAAAATTGTATATATTGCTAAATTTAAATAACTTTATCATATTTACTTTTATCCAAATTCAAATGTTCTTCATTCTTCTTCAGTCTTTTCAAACATAATTTTTCATTTGATAGCCAATTTGTTTTACTCATTAAAATATCAACAGGTTTGCTGCAATGCAATAACAGAACATAAATACAATATTTCATGAAGTAATACATTTGTTCATCTGCTTCAAGCTATTAAGAATATTAGCATTTTTTCTTTTTTTTTTAATATTTATTATAATTAACAAGAAAATAAGTATTTATTCTAATAATTAGGAAAAAACAGAAACAAACTAATTCTGTATGTTTTTAATATATATGATAAAAGAATGTTAATTATTATACATTTATAAAAGTAATTTTATTATAGTATTTATAATTGATTCTGTTTTACTTCTATTTTAAAAGGAGGGAAGGAGAGAGAGACACCTATAATAAATCTTTATATTTTTGAAAAAGTAACTTCTGTATATGAATAACTAAAAAAACTAATATTAATCTGTAATTGTCTTCATGTTCAAAAGAATAGAGTAATTATATAAATATTTGTATGCATTAGATAAACAAAATTTAATCTTGCATGCTCTATCATTTATTATAAATTTTTTTATTACCTATCATGGTATTCAATCCAGTAGAAATTCCGTCCAAAATGTTGTCTTTTAACTGGTCCAAATTGTCGAAAAAAATTCATTAAATCCTCTGGCGGTACAGTTTTTGGTAAAGGTGCAACACACAGTGACTTTCCTGATAAATAGTGTTCTTCTTCATGTGATTTTTGTTTTGAGCTTGTTACTTGACATTTTGAGCTTGTAGGAATCTGTTCACTTTTATGTTTAAAAGATTCAACATGTGAAGTAGAACTCATGTTTCAAAGTTGTAGAAATAATCGTAATTTATTATATTTAGTTGTGTTTCTTGTTTAATAAAAGTTTTCAATTTTAATTCAAACTTAATGTTTGACCATCAGCAGTGATCACTTTCAAAAAGTATTTTGTTTCAATAAGTCCTTTTAAATTTCCAGCACATAGAACAACATCATTTTCAGATTCAAAAAATATTAAGCCACTTTCTTTCGCTTTTCCAAAATTCACATAAATGAAAAGTTCAGCATTTTGACGTAGACCATTGATAAAATTTAATCCCTTGGCAAAATGAATATGGTTTCTTCTCATACGTGACAGACCTTCCGTTCTTATCTTTGGCCAGTACTTAAAATAAGTACCGTGAATTATGTCAAAGTCTATGCAGTCAAGTATTTTCAAATTCAATTCATTGATCTTAAATATAGAATGTCCTTGATTTGCTTTAATCTCTAAAATACCATTAACAACTTTGAGAGTAAACCTTTGTTTGTTATTTTCCTTTACTACTCTCTTGATGTCGTCAGTAGTATACTGATGTAGTGATTTATTTAATAATTCATTAACTGCAACAAAACCATTTGGTTTAATATTTAAGCCTTCCTTTACAGCCCCATGACGTAGCAAGTATGATAATCTTTTGCTGAGAGCAATATCGCTTTTATTCTGAACCTGAAAACAATATTAATAACATTTGCCAGATATTATTATTTATATATATTCAATTGTATTAGATTATTATAAAGATTCTTCAAAAATGCCATTGCAAATGCCAATTTGTAAACTCTTTGTACAATGTATTCTTTACAGACAAAGTCTCTATATAACAAAAACTGTCTAACAAGATGGTCATTACTGTCATCATTATTATATTAATACTGCATAAACTGAGCTCCTAAAAATTTCTTCTAGTAACTCAATTTATATAATCCTGCTTCTGGCATACTAATGACTGTTCACATACAAATACATTGTAAATAAAAAAATAATAAATATCTGTTTTAGACAAAGGGCTAAGTTTTCAAAAGCAAATTATTGTACTTGATCGCGTAGAAAAGTGCACACTGTTAAAAACAAAATGATTTCTTATGTGCAATTTTACATTACTACAAAGTTAATACAAGCCATTATTTGTAAGTCGACAAGTATCTTTCTTATAAAGTTACATCATGAGTGTCTAACCTTTGAAAACATGAATTTAGCGTAACTCGCAACTCTCGTAACTTTCTCCTAATTTAATTGGTTTCCTTTACATTCAATCGAAGAAGACATGTCTTAATATTAACGATATTATAATTATACCCATCACGAATAAATTTATAAAATTCTAGTCAACTCCATCACGACAAATACGACAAATAATATGGCGTAATAGTCGACGTCGACATGCGTTTTTAGTCTGGATCTACAATATGTTTGTAAGCCTTCAACCATCCATACGGAATGGACGAATCACAGTCAAGTATTCTTCTCGCATTCGACTGTAATTGGTTAATTTCTTATGGTTTGCGGCATAAAACACCTATTGTAGATCTGGGGTTAGTTACGAAATAAATGTATCTACGCTCAAAAAGGTTATACCAACTGCGTTTTAATTCACTAATTTTCCTAATGTCATTTCGAAATTGAACACGAGATGGCATATATGTGCAACACCTTCTTTTATAGTATTTATAAGTATATTATACATATATGTATTTGTATTAATTTGTTTTTGCACAGATATATAAACTGGAAATAAACATATCAGAAAGAACTATATAGATTTTCAGGCTAACCAAATATTGCGAAACAATCATGATGCAGCCTTTGGATATAGCTCAGTGAGAAATGACAATGAAATAGACATCGAATTGACATCGATTCGACGTCGATTTCATTGTCATTTTTCACTGAGAGGGATAATGTATATAATAAATTAAGCATCTTCAATTTTATTACATTTTTGTGAAAAACGCAGAAATAAAATGAAAAATAATAAAATAATTATAAAAATGAATATTATTTTTCCATAATTTATAAAATTTATATTATATATTTAATAATTTATAAAAAATTAATTTCTTTTTTCAATTATATATTTTAAAATATATATTTTACAATAAAACCAATTTTTAATTTATATTGCATTAAATACTGACTGTTTAATTTATGTTAATTTGCTTTATATTTATTTATGGCTGCTTATGCTTTTTATATTAAGTTCGCACAGTTACACTCATTCTCGTTTTCTCTTTTCCTTTGAAGTGCGTTCAAAGATGGATTCCTTTCATTCGAGATTTGAATTAAGATGCACTCGATGGAACAATCGTTACATCGAATGATTTTGAGAACGATTAACTTCCAAAACTCGAAACAACTTGGGATGAGGACGGTGCGATTCACTTGACGCTACAAATGTTTCGCGATCGAAGCATTCGATTAATCAATCAAAAGAAAGAAATTTATTAATTAACCAATCAAAAAATGTTTTGAAGCCTTCATATCATCAAATGGTAGCCTTGAATCAAATTTCGAAGACTTTTGATTTAACCGTTGGCTTTGATTTAATCTGTATTAAAAATAAAAAGAATAAAAAGTAAACAATAATAATCTGTGTTATGTACGGCAAGAACTCTAGATACACACACGCACACACACACACACAGGCATACATAAAATGTATAATTCGATATTCTTTGTCTGAAATTTCATTTCCATATATTAAACCAAAAAAAAAATTTAATAATTTATATTAATAAAATATTTCATTTTTTGATGAGTTAATCATCGATTAATTCACAATGAGTAGAATTTAAAGTATAAAAATAGTAAATATATATATACATATATATAATTATTATATTGTCAATCCCACTTCTCTTTTTCCATATATGTATATGTATTAAATAACAAAAAATTAATTCTATGTATATTAATAAAATACTGAAGGAATTTTATTTGATAAATTAATCTTTTAACATTATTCGACTTGTGAATTGCTCAAAAGAAAATTCGATTATCCACAATCCAATCTCCTATTCATATATGTTAAAAACAACAGAAAAAATAATTCTATTTAAGTTAAAATATTTTTTATGTTAAAATAAAGATTAATTAATAATTAAGTTAACAGATGATAAATTAAAGGAAATTACAAAACCTTTATTTAAATTCGTTCGAATATTTCTTACCGTTCTAATAACATATTTAGAATAAAATAAATATTATTCATTTCGAAATATTTTGCTCTCTGTAACGGACATAAAGAAAAACAAAATACATTGTCTTGATCGCTTATTTCTTTGTTTTGATCCTAGAATGTAGGTATTCAAAGGTCATCAAAGGAAGAAACGTATTCTTGTAAGAAAGCAGAACGTCTCGAAGTGAGCACGTCAGTCGGTAATTGATTGCGAATCTAGACACATCGTAAAAATACATTCGTCTGGAAACGTTTGTATTACCTAGCTATTTCGGAAATATGTTCACGAAGGTATGTAATCTCGCAAACATCGTCGATATCTTCCTTTCTTAAAACGTGAGGAAATATTACAATTTTAAGTGATTATGATCGTTACATCGTCGTTGCGCAGGTTTTATACATGTAAATATTCCCTACAGTTTTTAAAATTGTTCTCATCCTGAAGAGTAAAATCTCATTTTTAAAGATTTAAAATTAACCTGCTTTTTTTCAAGACTGTCCCAACTTTTAATTTTTAGAGATTTTATATTAAAGAATTCCAAGAGTAAAAATGTTACGCAAAGGCTGTATAACAATATCATTACTGTGAGAAATGACAATGAAATCGTCGTCGAATCGATGTCGATTTTATTATCATTTCTCATTTTGGGTGTCGGTTAAAAGAGTTAGGGACACACAGAATAGAGGTCTAAATCGACAACAAAGGATCTTACCTGATGATAAAAACTGAGTTCTCATTTTCTTAGATCGCGCAATTTATACTGCTTTCGTACTGTGTCGTACAAAGTTGCGTTATACCTGAAGATGGATCGCTGACAGAAAATGTTAATTTTTCTCAAGTCTTGTGTAGAGATAATTATAATGACAATGGAGGAAAATTCCAGATATATCTATTTTCTTTCTTGTGGATATCATATAAATGGAGCAGTTATATATCCTATTATCCAAATTCTGGAGGGAGATCCTACAATGAGCCTGCACTGAAAGATCAATCTTCAGTACCTGTAGAAAAGAGCGACAATAAACAGAAAGGTAAAAGAGAATGATTTTTCGAGAGGTGCGATATGGCGTTATAATAGAAAATATTATTTATATCTTAATCTTTTACGTAGGTCGAAAGGTAATTATCATCACCGACATCACAGATGGCATTAAGTTGATCATAACCGAGTTAAAGAAATTCGAGGAAGTTAGAAAGGATGCTGTAAATTCTAATTATGATGATAAATCTTATGGTGATTTCTTAAACAAAAATTTCAAATATATGGATACAGATAAAAAACTACTGGAATTCGTAATATTGGTACATGAATGGACTTCAAGTTTATTGGTTCTAAATACCATCGGCCAATCGAATTACAAGAATATCTTCAATTTTTCACGAACATGTCTATTGCCCCCGTTAAATAATAACAGTAAAATAATGTCTCATGAAGGTGAGAGAAAGATTTTTTCAAGGAATGGAAAGTTACTTTTTAAAAGTAACTAGTTACAGTTACTCGTTACCGAGTAAAAAATGTAACTAGTTACAGTTACAGTTATCGCTTTTTAAAAGTAACTCGTTACAGTTACCGTTACTTGAAAAATAACTTTTCGTTACTTTTCCGTTACTTTTTTAAAATCAATTTAAAAATGTACTTTTGCATTTTTTTTTTATTTGTAATACTGACAAATATATAATTTTATTAAAAAAAAAAACAATGTAGAATGGCTCAAATAATAAATTAAATAAAAGTAAAATGAGAAGGGTTACGAGCCAAAAATGAAACAGTTTATTTCCGATAAGAACGACGATGACAATGTAATTAAATGTATAAATATATATTAGAACAATAACATGGATAAAACAAGATAAAAACAAACGACGTTTCGACACTTATTGTCATCGTCTTTTAAACTGTTTCGCTTTTGGGTTCGTAGCCCTTCTCATTTTACTATTATATAATTTATCTTTTAATTTTTTTTAAACACAATTTTGTAATTCTAAAATCTGTAAAATATGCAGCAAACTGAAATATTTGTATGTCCTATGTATTACATAGAAGATAGAAGTGTAAAATAATTACTGAATCATGACAGCCGAATGTCTAAGGGCTTTCAAGTCTTATTGATAAGCGCTATAAATAGCATGTATCCAATCAAACCGTGTTCAATCGTGTGCAAAGTAACGACGAAAGTAACTGTAAATTTCGTTACCGTTACCCAAAAAATGTAACTCGTTACCGTTACAGTTACCAAAAAAAGAAAGTAACGCAGTTACCAGTAAAGTTACCAAAAAAGTAACTTGTAACTGTAACTTCGTTACAAGTAACGAGTTACTTCCATTCCCTGGATTTTTTATTGTATGGAAAAGTGCAATTGTGTCAAAGTGAAAATGTTTCACAATAATCTCAATTTTTTATTTCAGATTATGAAAGTTATTCCACTATCCTCATAGGTCTGATTAGATATATTCAGGACTATTTATATAAACAATCAGAGATATTATTATCCGTGAAATCTATCAGGAAGATAGTAAATGGTAAGAGAAAGACGTTTCGCTATAAAGAAATATAACGCCAAAGTAAAAATATTATTTCATTAAAATGTTGATTTTTTATGCAGATAATTCGAAATCAGGCAGTGAGCTCATAAGCCTTATTAAATCGATTGTATTAGAAGCAAATGAGAGATTACAGAATCCTGAAGATACAGTGTCGTCAAGTCTCAGTGATAAATTATTCAAGTTTCAATTGTTTGCATATCGATGGATCCTTAAAATACGCGTTCAGATTATCTACACGGAACGTACCAAGAAATTTTTACAGTTTCTACAGGAAGGTCAGTCTTCATTGCCTATGGAATATCATGACAATAGACCGACAGATAAAAGAAAGTTTTTTGCCGTAAAAAGATGCGATATTGCACCGAAATAAAAATATTATTTTGATAAGTTTTAATCTTGATTTTTTATATAGATCAGAAGAAAAAAACCACAAATGTTTCGAAACGTGAAGCAGAGATAATGACCGAAGATTCATTCTTCAATAATTCTTTTAAAACGAATAATTGTAACTTCAAACGAACCATACGTCATACATTAGAAATGCAGCTATTCACTACCGCGTGGCTATTATTTGAGTGGTTCTCGAATAGTCCCGTTGGAGGAAGATCTTTCAATGATTTTCAGCTTCCACTGGATGATCAGTTTGATTCATTGCCTACAGAGAAGAGCGACTATGAACTGGAAGGTGAGAAAAAGACTGTTTTAGCCATAGAGAGACAAGATATTATGTCAAAATAAAAATATATTATTTCACAAATATCTCAATTATTTCACAGATGAGGAAATAACCGTCAAGGATTTCATGGAGAACATTAAATTAACTAAACGTCAAATAAACAAAAACTTGAAGAGTTTCGAAGAAACTGCAATGGACGTTGATAACGATTCCTCTCACAACATACGGAATACGAAGAGCCGCATACTCAAAAGATCCAACCTTAAAGGCAACCTGGATAACTTGAATTTCCGTCGATTAAGGTTTATACTGGCAGTATATCGTTGGATTTCTAGTATAATAATTCACAGAACCCTTGGCAAAACTGCTTTCGGTAACATGATGCCGATTCTACGAGACTGTGAACCTATGTTTCCCATAAAAGAGGCTAACAAGATGAAAGAAGGTAACAGAAAAATTTTTGTCGCGCAATATTGTGCCAAGAAATGGAAATATTATTTCACAAAAATCTCGATCTTTTTTTATAGAAATTGAGAAAGTGAGCGACGATATCATTTATCTCGCTGAATTGCTCCAGGCAATCGTCGGTTAAATACAAAATCTAAGGACACTATTATACGACACATATAATAATAAATTAATTATTATATAATAATGTTAGAAAAATAGTCAAAATTTTGAAGAAAATTAATTGTTTATTACCTTTAAACTTGTAGCAATATTTCTGCAAGTTCTGTGCTATTGGGATCGTATTAAAATGTGCATGAATTAAATTAAAAAAAAAAATTGTAATTTAATTTCAATAAAATTAATCTGAAGGAGTTAGAGCAATTTTTTTTTACTTTTCGAACCATATATGAATGCTTTTCGGGGTAAAGATTATGTTATTATATTATCTTTATATGAAAAATAATAGCACTAGATTATTAACCATATTTCAAACGAAAAATTTTAATGATAAATTTTAATTAATCAAAACAATGCGAATAATAAGTGTAATAATAACCTACTCGATCTTGTGCTACAAACACAAATTAATTATAAATATAATAATGACTTGAATTAATAAATTATACAGTTTTTGGACGAAAGTTATACAACTAATAGGGTTGTCAGAGATAATGAATTTCACTGCTGAGAGGTAGAAGAGATCGTCGTCAGATAATCAGGTTCTTAATTGTAGACAATTCGTTTTTTCTTCTGTTGTAAAGTTAAATTCTAAACCGCCTCTCGAATACTCATACTCGTCTTTACGCCTCGAAGATATAATAGTTTGTTTATCTAAGAAACTCGCTTTGCCCTTCGCTACACGTTCACGATAAATCTTTCTTTTGAATCTCATATAAACAATAATAATAACTAGCAGAGACTTAAATATAAATAAAACACAAATAAACGAAAAGATCAATTCGGTTAAATCAAAGTTTGAAACTAAATAATATTTTTGAATAATAAATCTTTATTACATTTTCCAGTTACAAAATTTTATAAAATTATATAACGTCCTTTACGTGCTTATTTTTAGTTTATAAAATAGATTTATATTGATGAAAGAAAAGAAATATACACGATTTTTCACTTCTTTCATCATAATCTAATAATATATTCATATTGCAATCAATATATTAAGACTCATTTAATTGCGATACACTGGAATATTTTGAATGTTTGATAAATTATTATGTTATATTGGAATTAATAAAATTAAAGATTTTAATGAATCTATAGCTCGTAGCCCTGTTCTGTTATTAGTTAGTAATAATAATTAATAATATTATATTTTATCACACAGTCATACTTTTATAAGACTGTTCTTAATTGTATACATATATTGTTTATCGATAATGCAAGTACCTTTTATCGATTTATTTGAAATAAAAACAAGTCTTTCGAAAGGTCTTTGTAATTTTAGGCTCTTATTCTGCATAAATCTTATAACAATAATAACGACATGTCGAATTATATTGTGGTTACATATTTCTTATTAGATATGTACAAAAACCTACACAATTTAGTGATATCATTACTATCATAAAAGAGATTCTCTACCTTAGAAAAGTAAAAGGAAGTAACTTTTCTTATCTTAACGTAAGAGGACTTTCTTATCTTGATTTAGATATTGACAATTCTAATAAACATGACGTTGCCACGTTAATTTTCACTAATGTGACGTCATGTTTGAAGACAATTGAATAATTT